GCTGCAGCAGTAGTAATAGTAGTAGTAGCAACAGCAGTAGTAGTAGTAGTAGTAGTTGTAGTAGTTTTTGTTGTAGTGGCAGTATTATTATTATTATTATTAGTAGTAGTAGTAGTAGTAGTAGTAATAGTAATAGTAGTAGTAGTAGTAGTAGTAGTAGTAGTAGTAGTAGTAGTAGTAGTAGTAGTAGTAGGCAGTAGGGTAGTATTTTGTTGTTGTAATGATAATAGTAGTAGCAGGCAGTAGTAGTAGTAATATTATATTCTAATTTATTCTATATTACTAAATTATAACTAATATTTTTTATATTATATTTTCTATTTATATCCATTCTGTCATAAATATCTCTTTGATTGGCGTTTATATTTAGTAGCAAGTGATTCAGAAGATTGAACTTCTGGCTAGGTGACATCTCTAGAAGTTTCCACCAAATATAAACCGAGCGTGAAAATAATTTTGTGACCATAATATATGTATATATTACAATTTAATGATAACTATTATTATAAAATGGTAATAATAATTTTATTTTTATTATTATTGCCCTATTGTGAAAGTTTCTCAGAAGAAATGAATGTGCAACACACACACAAACTTTAAAAACAAGCTCATACACACAGACACACACTAGCACACGCCCACACGCACATATACACACACGCACAAATAAATCCGCTGGCAGTCACGTGCACTAAGCATTAGGAATGGAAAAAATTTTTGGAAGCAAATTATATAGTAAAAAATATCGAGTCAAAAGTAGATCAATTTTCACGCTTGCGATACAAGTCCTACAAACATACATCTACGTACATACACACACGCACAAGCATCTGCGTGTATACACTCACGTGCAAACGCGCACACATCTATGTATATATGTACACATATGCACACATACATAGACCCGAGACATACATACATACATATACATACATACATACATACATACATACATACCTAAACATATACTCACGAATAAACACGCGCAGGCGTATGTGCGTGCCTATGTCGACTGCACAAATTCATTAGTGACTTATAAAAAGAACGCTAACGGCTTTAGCGCGTACTTATAATGCGTTATGAGTGGCTTAATTGATTACTGTGTCTGCGATTGCCTGCTTCATATGTAGACTGGCCTCACTTGGTGGTCGTGGCTACAGTAGTTGTGGTAATTGATGTAAGGGGTTTTTGTGTCGGTGATTGGTTCTGTTAGATTTATTTATATTTTTACCTCTTTTTTTTTTGTTATTTCGTAGTTTTTACTTTTTATATGATGTTAATAATGATAATAAGTATTATTATTAGCATAATCACAGTATGGCATTCAACGTAAATTTTTTAAGCAATAACTTTTTCTCTTTTTCTCTTTATATATATATATATATATATATATATATATATATATATCTCGCCGTCCATTTCATACAATTTATTGGAAATTTTTTGCCTGTGTGATTTAGAGTTTCGTAATTTTTGGACAGAAAATGAATTGAAATGATTTTTTTAATTTTTAAATATTGCCTCTATGCTTCAATTTTGTGATTTCCTTTAAATCAGCTTTCAAAATCCACAAAACGGATGAAAATTCTACTTTCTTATCAGCAATCATAGAAGCAACATCGTTTGACAATGTGACTCGCGCCACGAACTTAAATTAAAATGTAAAAATTATTTTATAAAAATAAAATTAAATAGTAAAAGTTTTTTAGAAACTTTAAATTAAATTGCAAAAATGTCATTTCCAATTCCAAAATTATATTTCCGAAATGTGATTTAATTTTTAATTTCACATTCAGCGAACGCACAGTTCTGGTATTTGAATGCATTATTAAAAACGTAAACATTAAAAGTATAGGCACACGCGCATAAACAAACACAAACATAAAAGTACATACATACAAAGAAACTCACCATACAGACAGATAGACAGACAGACATACACATAAAAAACACAGCAATTGAGATGCATAAACTGACCAATACACCACTTACGCGCACACACGCAAACAGTCACACACACACACACGTACACACATACACACACAGATAGACATACAAACAAACGTAGACAGAAACACCGAGACGTACGTAATTATCAATTTCTCACATGATAGCATAAACAATCAACGCGATAAACAAGTTTGGCCTGCCATAAACCACCGTCTGACCCTTGTTAAAAATTTTTTTCCCTCTCTTGGCTCGAAGAGGACAATAAAATTTAAATTATTTTTTATCGTTTTTAAAAAAGACAACTAAAACAATAATAAAAAGATGAACAACAAAATGAAGAAAAACAACAGCAATAATAATAATAATAACAATAATAAAGGATCATCAACAAACCAGAATCACAACAATAAACCTGTAGTAATAAAAATAATAATAATGAGGAAAAATGATATTGGTACAGTTGGCCATGATTATTTGTTATCATTATTATTATCCTTATTATTATTATTATTAAAAATAGCACTAGACACACGCACACATACACACACGCGCGCACAAACTGGCTATATTCAGTTAATCCAAAAGTTGTTATATAGTTAGACTAACTAACTATTAAACGAGTAAATTTATAACTCAACCCTAGCCTTAATTTTAACCCACACTTTTGAGCCACACGCAGAATGTTTCACCATCCCGTCAATCAGGCAAACTTACTGGAGGTCTTGGCATTATCGGATGGGCAAACGAGAACTATCTAATTAGCTTTTGTATCCATTTTCCGAAGGTTTTATTTGACAGTAAATCGCAGATTAACGCTTGCGGCGTGCACAATCCGAGCAAAATTTTTATCTCTAAATCCATCTTCATTCTTTCTTTCCTTCTTTCTTACATTTATATTTTTGTCTCCTTTTTTCTTTGTTTATTCTTTCATCCATTCTCTTTCATTCTTTTTTGTGCATTCGGTGATTCTTGCATTTCATTCTCTATCCATTCGTTCATTCTCTATCCATCCATTCATTCATTCTCTATCCATCCATTCATTCATTATCTATTCATTCATTCATTCTCTATCCATCCATTCATTTACTATCTTTATTTTCTATCCATTCATTCATTCTCTATTCATCCATTCATTCTCTATCCATTCCTTCATTCTCTAATCCATTTATTCTTGTTTAAAATAAAAAACCTCTTTGTTTGTTTTTAATATAATTGTTTATTAAAGAAACGTTAATTGAAATATTAGAAGACACGTTAGTCGACAAAAAGCGAAAAGCATACACGCGCAAGTTAGTCAAGTTAGCAATAATTTTAAGATTGTCTGAAACTATGGAAAGTCATAAATATATTGAAACATATATAATATACATATATATTATTTCAATAATTCTTTCATACCGTTTTCATTCATTCTTTCATTCGTTTTCCCTTCTTTGGTTCACTCTGTCCTTCCTTCCTTCATTGCATTCTTTTTGCGACAGACCTGTATCGATCCGGCTGGCTCAAGTTGGAAGGTTTGATAAAAAAGATTTTTATAGCTTTGAAAAACTGTAGAAAAATAGCGAAAACTCCGCGAGAATTTTGTTTTTTTGTTTTATGCTCAAAATTAAAGCCAATTGCGCGTGGTGTCGTTATGAAATGAAAAATAAAATAATTCCATTATTATTATTATTATTATTATTACTACTATTATTATTTAATAATAATAATAATAATAATTACTTTAACGTTCATTTCTGGTAATTCAAAAATAATTATCATTATTAATTATTAAAATACTAGTATTATCGTTTCTATTATTTAAGAAGAATTAACTTATTGTTTATTTTTCATTATAAAATCAAAATTAAAGAATAACATTATGTAATGCAATAAACTTTATGTAGAAATATCCATTGGTCACCAGTGTATTCTTTATTGATATTTTTTAAAAGCTTGAATTTTTTACTACAAAAAAAAACGCCGTTATAAATTATCGTCGGAACAAATTAAACGAGACACATATAATGCAAATTATATTATTACTAATTATTTTGTTGTGATTTATTCGTTTTTATTATTCGGAAGCGTATGGTTGAAATGATTTTTAGAAAGGTTTCAATCGATCGACTGGCTGTGTTTTCGTGTAATTTATTTCTTAGATTTGAAAAACTTCTTTAAGCAATGAAAATCTGGCTTGACGTCAACATTTTTAAAAACTTTTTTGAATTTCCATCGTAAAATGTTCCTCTCCCATCCTCTGCCTAACTACAGTAAAAGATAGAAGTTCGATAATTCCAAGACGAACATGCATTATTCATATTCGATGGGATTAATAAAATTAATTCATGGATGCTTTGCACGGTCATTAGAAATTTTCAATGAACGAACGATCCAACGGATGAAAGAATGAACGAACGAATGAATAAAAACCAACGAATGAATGAACCACAAACGAATGGATAAACTGATAAATGAAAAAAGAACCACAAGAAATAAACACACGAATGCCCTTAAACTAATCCTTCTCAAACTACTCCTAACGCGATTAACTTCAAAAATAAGTGAACAGCCTTCTTCTGTCTTGGACATTTTGCAACTTACAAAGTTTTTTTTTAATTTTTTATTTTCTTGCAAAAATTTTTCAATAAATATTCCATAAAATCGTAATTTTATCCATTACATATTTTAAAAAATACGAAAAAACCAGAGTAGGTACCCAACGCTAAAGATTTTATCTACGATTATTTATACACAAACCTAGCTTATGAGACATGGCATCTTTATACACCGTTTATTTATAGCATTTATAATCCGAGCAAGCTTGTTTTTATTTATGAGGGTCTCAGAGATGCGATCTATATCCTATTCATAAGCAATAAACTTGCGTGTAAATGTCTGTTCCCGAATTAGGAAGATTATTACATTCATCGGATAATATGCTAAGACGGACTATACAATACAATACAATCCGTTGGTAATTTTTGAAACTTCAATCAAGATGAACATCTAAAAGATACTTTTTTCAATATTTGTTGAAAACAATGACGCACAATGTTTAATTCGTTTGCGAAATTTTATTAAGATTTTTTTTTTATTAAAACACAAAAAAGCAAGAAAGATAAAAACAAAGTAGATATAAATGTAATAACAATCGTTAACAAACAAACAAAAAGGTAGAAAGTTCAGGTTGCAGGAACATTCCGATAAGAATTTTAACATCTTTTACTGCCAATTTTATTAAATTACGATAATGACAATTCAGAAAATAGAAGAGAAAAGAGTTGTTATCTCAGCAGAAAATTCATAATATAATTTAAACTTCCATAAACAGCAAACTTTTTTTAAAATCGACACAATTTTAACTCTGACTCAATTTTATTTCAACCAAAAAAATCATCATCACTGTTGCCAGCAGCTTCCCCATTAACACACACACACACACCCAATACACGCATATCAACACTTACGCGCGCACACACACACACACACACACACACACACACACACACACACACACAGGCTAAAAGGAATATTACGGATATGGTAAAATAGATTGAACGACAGCAAATTGACCAGATATCATCCAATCAGCTCTCTCCTCTTTAGCTCTCTGAACAGCTTCATGCGTCACTCCAACCAGCGTATCAGACTTGAGAGTCCTCAGGCAGCAGAAAGATGAAGGGTGGAAGCCATTGAGGACTTTTCCAAAACAAACTGTCGGATCCCACTTCCTGTCTCCAGTCACTTTGCGATAGTTCAAATCTCCTTTGAATATGACGAGAGTGGACTCTGAAAGCTGTTGGTAGAGGTCAGGGGCTACAGAGTTCATGAGGTCAAACGTATCAGGTAAGGTCCAGAAGTGATGAGTGGTGAAGATCCACTGGCCTGCTTCTATCCTGGCCTCCCATAAGTTGGCCAGTTTCAAAAGTTCTGCTGAGCCCGACTGTTTCATCCATTCAAAAGACCAATACCAATCATCATTCGTCACGTCAGATACGAACCAGGGAATTATTTTCGCGTGAAAATAAATTTTTTGAACTCCGAAGATGGCGCTAAAATACTCAGCCAGACATAAGTCAGAGAAAAGTTCAAAACCAGCATTGTCAAGGACAAAATCGATTCTGTTCATGTCAGTTTTTGGCATGTAACTGATGTGTGGATTGTTGTTGACGACAGCATTGTTCGTCTTCAGAAGGACGAGGTAGTCGAATATTTTCTGGACATCATCTTGTAGCACGTAACTTTTCAGTAGGTCCAACTGCATGAGAACATTTGATAGCTGGTTGTTGGCTTCACCACTGGATATAGAAAGGTCGCATTTGTTGCCCCACACTGATGTCTGAAGGTGAAGGTCAGGTATTGGTGGGGATGTACATTTGGTTATATTATTAATATTTAAACTGATTGAAATAAAATTTATTTAAAATTATAATCTTTAAAAAGTATAGAAGACCGTTCGTTGACTCAAATTTATCATAAACAAACAAATAAAAGACATAAATTTAAATACAACACAGTACAAAGAAAACAAAACTGACGTATAGAAGGCTCTTGAATAGTGCTTCTGATGTTGTTGAATCATTGAGTGTACAGTTGATGTTGCTAAGAAGGAAGGAAGATAGTGAAACGATGGCATCCAGTGATTCTATCAGTGCCAACTGTTTCTGACCTTTGAATGGGTCCAAGTTTCTAAGATAATTACTGAAAAAATTTTTTTATAGAAATATTTAAAAAAATATGGAATAATCTGAAATTTTTTAACTTTTTATTAATTAATTAATTAAATTATTTAGTTATTTATTAACAGAACCACCTGGTTAAAGATATAGATGCAATTTTCCTGTAGCAGTAGCATTCAGCCAACAGCCAGGAACTTGTGAACCAGGAAGCTTGTGGCGTAGGCGAAGTTAGGGGCACAGATAGTGGGGATGGATCGGTGCATTCGATGGGGTTCTCCACTAAATTAGGGATTTGAATGCGCTGGTTCCATGCCTCGGTATCCGGACAGTCCTCTTCTAGAAGTGTGAATGGTTTGTCGGTCTGAAGCTCACTTCTCAATCTGGATATTTTTCCAATAAAGTCTTTCAGTTCTTCAATTCCTGCCTGAAATGTCAAAAAATTTTAAATTCAAATTTAAATATTTTTTAGTTAATTATAAAGTTTAGTTTCATTGGAATCTTTAAAAACAAAAATAAAGCAACATTTTAAAATTGAATTTACAAACATTAAATAAAAATAAAACTAAATATAAAAGTAAAATCAAAATCTATTACTGATTAGTGATTAGAATGTAACCAAAAAATGAAATACTAAAAAAACGTCTGAAAATAGTGAAAATGACATTAGGTAATAGTTAAAATTAACATTGAAATTGGACTTGCATACCTCACCAAACTGCCCTCTCACAAAACACTTGTCTCTATAAAGTACGTCAACAATCTTTGTTAAGATAACAGGCAGGCGATCTTTGATCGACGGATAAGCAAAGTCACTAAAAAATTAATATAATAAAAAATAAATTAATAAATGATTGAATAAAAATGTAATTATAAATATTTATTTGTAGGTGAAGTGGAATTTAAATAGCAAATGAGATTAATGAAAATCAGGTTAATAAATAAGATAAAATAAAAAATAAGATATTATATGAATAATCATAATTATAATAATATATTATATTATAATTATAATATATATAAAATAAATTAATTCAATAATAACAATATAAATATATTATATATATTAGATATATTATTATTATGGCGTCGAGACCGGTTAAAGTTTGCGAGTTGTTATATTTTGTTAAAAATAACTCGGAATTACTAGACAATGATTCGTTTATTTACAATATAAGCGAATTTTATAACGGTGTTGAATTAGATTATGCAATAAAATTGTTAAAAACTGAATTTGAAATGTTAAATTTGGAAAAGACTGAAAAGTTCCCTTCACGTGGCAGTGGCGGCAATAAACGTGATAGGTTAATTGAATGTTTAAATTTGTACAAATACTGTAAAGAAAATAATTTATTAGAAAAAATGTCTGATTTTTGTAGTACTAACATGGATAGAATTCCGAATATAGAAAAATGGATAAAATTAAATCTAGAATACGTCAAATGTGATTTGAACCAGTTATTAATAAATCAGCAGACCCAGTTAAATGATATGTTAAAGTCGTTTTGTGTTGACATTGAAAACTTGAAAATTAAGTTTAATAATTTTGAAAATGTAATTAAAATTAATAACGATAACAACAACGTTGAAATTGAAAATCTGAAATTTAAGTTCAATAGTTTTGTAAATGTTAATAAGGCTAATTTGACTAATTTAACTTCTACTAGTCGACCTACTAATATGCCTTTAAATGCTAATAATATTAAAGTTAACACTAATATGTCTTTAAATGCTAATAATAATAAAGTTAGTAACACTGTTAACCAGTCAAAAATTTCAACAAATACTACTCCTGTGACTCAATGTTGGGGTGACCGTCATTTTTTGGGTTTTTCTGTATGATAGGGAATATATTTGGGAGACTTATAGGCCGTATGCTTATGATATTAGGTGTTGAATATAGTGACTGTGTGAGTTTTAAGAATAATTATATATAAATTTGTTTTGGGTTATTATTTTGATTTTTCTGGACGATAGATGGTGTGTATAGAATTTTTAAGTGATTAAATATGTTACATAGGATGCGGTAAACACCGGAACCGGGTGTATTCACCATAATTTTGGATTTGAAATTTTGAATGTTCTTTCTTTCGATTTTTTTGAACGATAGGGGGCATAAATGGAGAATGTATATATATCTATCTATCACTTGGGATGTTCGGAACACTTTAACCGTTTGGGATTTTCGTAATTTTTGATTTAAAAAAATTTTTTTCTTTCGATTTTTTGAATGTTCTTTCTTTCGATTTTTTTGAACGATAGGGGGCATAAATGGAGAATGTATATATATCTATCTATCACTTGGGATGTTCGGAACACTTTAACCGTTTGGGATTTTCGTAATTTTGGATTTAAAATTTTTTATATGTTTTTCTTTCGATTTTTTTGAACGATAGGGGGTATAATTGGAGGATCTATATATATGTGTATATCACTTGAGATGTTATGAAGGGTCTGACCGTTTGGGATTTTGAAATGATGGGTTTTAAATTTTAAAGTTTATTAATCTTTTACATTCTTTTAGTTATTATTCCTTAATATCAGCGGCCACTCGTGTTACTGCCACTAGTAAGTCTTTAATTGATAACATATTCACGAATAATATTTCTAATCATAAGTCTGGTATTATTTTGTCATCTTTCTCAGATCACTTCCCAATTTTTACTTCATTCTTAACTCATGGTTTAACTATACCCGAACGTTCAATTACTTCTTTCAATTACTCTGCTTATAATATTTCTAAACTAAACATGTATCTTTTGAACTATGATTGGTCTTGTATCTTGAACTGTTATAATACTGATTTAGCTTTTAATTCATTTTTAGACATTGTTAAAAATGCAATCATTACAAATTGTAAATCTTTCCGTAAGAAATCCCTTAAGAGGAAGCCGTGGATTACTAAGGGTTTGATTATTTCATCTGCTAATAAAAATAAATTATATAAAAATTTTTTGCTTTCCAACTCTTTATTAGATAAATTAACATATATTAAATATAAGAAAATTTTTTCTAAATTATGTAAACTGTCTGAAAACCTTTATTATAATTATCAGTTTTTAAATTGTAAATCTAACAGTGGACATACTTGGAAGTTATTGAAATCTTGCTTAGGTCTTAATAATATATCACCAACTTTTAATATAATGATTGATAACCATTTTATTATGGATGATGTTTTATTGTGTAATTATTTCAACAATTATTTTTCGTCATTAAACAATGTTAATAATTCATCTGACTGTACTTTTGATTTTATAAGGTTTATGGGTAATCATGTTTCTGATTCATTTGTTTTGTTTGAATGTCTCTCGTTTGAAATTATTGATGTTGTTAACAATTTTAAATGCACTCATAGTTGTGGTGATGATCTTATTTCAAATTTCTTACTAAAAAATATCATTCATAGTATTATGTCACCTTTGCTACATCTAATTAATCTATCTTTTAAATGTGGTCTTTTTCCCAATTGTCTTAAGATTTCTAAAATCTTACCATTATTTAAATCCGGGGTTCGCCATTCTATTAACAACTACCGTCCTATTTCTATTCTTTCCAGTATATCTAAACCAGTGTCGGGCAACCAGTGTGCCTCGGCACACTGGTGTGCCGCGAAGAATTCTAGGTGTGCCGCGAACATTTTTGTAGGTATTTATTCGAAGTTTTCGTCAAAGTATTGCTGTTCTCACTCACTTTTAACTCAAAGTAACTTTATTTAATTTAAACATATTTTTATTTAATTTAAACATATTTTTATTATATTTGTGTGTTTTCTAAACTCTCTCAAAACTAGATGGAGAGATTTCTAATTAGAGAAGGTGCCAGTGATAAACAAAATCAAAACGAAAATAATGAAGATAAGAAAATATTAAAATCAACTGGAAATAAGAGGAAATACGTTGAAGATTATCTCAAATATGGATTTATACCATCTGTTAATGATCCATCACTGCCGTTTTGCTTAATTTGCCTAAAAACCCTCAGCAACGAAACAATGGTGCCAAGTAAACTGCTTCGACATATTGAGACAAATCATCAGGAGCAGATGAACAATCCAATAAGCTACTTTGAAAATATACGATCAAGTTTTCAAAAGCAATCAAAAAAATTCAAGAAATTTATGACCACCTCAGATGAAGCTCAAACAGCTAGTTACATGATAGCTCAACTCATCGCTCGAAAGAAGAAAGCTCACGCGGAAGCAGAGGAAATTATCTTGCCTGCTTTAAAAATTGTGGCAGGATGTATGTTAACGAATGATGCTATGGAGAAGGTTAAGAAAATTCCACTATCATCAAAAACTATTGCGAGAAGAATTGAAGATATGTCAGAAGATATTGAGTTGCAAATAAAACAATCTTTTAATGATTCATCAACAAAATGGGCTATACAGCTTGATGAAACCACAGATATTAGTAATAAAGCTCAATTGCTGGCATTTTTGAGGTTCGTCGATACAGGAAAAATTGTGAATAACTACTTTTTTTGTAAAGAATTAAAACAAAGAACGACTGGTGCGGACATTTTTGAATTAGTTGATGAAAATGTTATGAAGTATAACTTGAGATGGGAAAATTGTGTTAGCGTCTGTACGGATGGAGCTCCTGCTATGAAAGGTTCAAGAAAGGGATTGATAGCACATGTCATAAAAAAAAATCCAAATATCAAATTTGTTCACTGTAAGGTTCATAGAGAAATGTTAGTGTCAAAGTCGGTTCCTCCCATCCTTGTCACAACTCTAGATGAAGTTGTCAAAGTAGTCAATTACATCAAATCAAGTGCTCTTCGATCGAGAATTTTTTCAACATTTTGTGAAGCAATGGATTCCGATTATACAAATTTATTGTTTCATACTGAAGTCAGATGGTTGTCGAAAGGCAAAGTTTTAAATCGATTTATTTCAATGAAAAATGAAATAATGGCATTCATTGATAACGAAGAGATTAATTTTCCTTTCATGATGAGTGATGTTTGGTGGTTACGAGTTTCATTTTTGGGTGATATTTTCGACAAATTAAACAGCCTTAATTTAAATTTGCAAGGTGCTCAGGAGAACATTATCACTATCTCCACCAAGTTGAAAGCGTTTAAGGAAAAACTCAGCTTATGGAATTTAAACATTGCTAAAGAAAACTTTGCATCTTTTCCGATGGTTCAAGAGAATCCATCAAAATCTATTATCAAAAAAGAAGTCGAAGAAACTTTGACATTACTATCCGCTTCTTTTGATAAATATTTTCCTAACTTGGACGTTGAAAAGATGGAATGGGTAGTTAACCCATTTATGCACTGTGAAATTCAACATCTGGAAGAAGAAATGCAAGAAAACTTAATTGATTTAAAAAACGATTTAGTTTTCAAAAGACTATTCACTGAAAAGGAGCTATCTGAGTTTTGGTTGTGCTTAAACTCCAAATTTCCTAAACTTAGTAATGCGGCCATCGAATCATTGTTGCCATTTGGAAGTTCCTACCTGTGTGAGCAAGGTTTTTCAACACTCACAGAAATGAAGTCTAAGAAGCGCGAAAGACTTCAAATGATAGATGAGGAGATGCGCGTTTGTCTTTCACAAGTACATCCCCGTATTGATTTGATATGCTCTCAAAAACATCGCAATGCTCGCATTGACTATGTTAATTTTATATTGAA